AAAAAAAAATAAATAAAATAAAATAAAATAAAATAAAAACTCCTGAAAAGGAAAATCTTTCTAAATGCTACCTGAAATCATCTTGCCTAGCAGGAGTGTGATATTTTGGGAAACACTGCATTATCTCAGTTAATCTTTGTGATATCCTTGTGAGGTAAATACTCTTTTCTCCCAGATTTTATAGGCTTAGAGAGAGTTGCAGTAACTTGGCCAAAGTCACACATCTTGTAAATGGCAGAGCCTGAACTCAGGCTGGTCTGTAGGATTCAAGCCCACACTCTTAGAGCTTGTGTGTTTCCACCATGCCAGGGAGCCTCCTGTTGTTGTCTCTAAGATTGTGCTTATCAAGTGTTTATGAAAATGATACACAATAGGGTGGGATGTATACGGAAGATTAAGTAAGCCTCACTAGGGTACTTTTACATGAAATTTTCTTATTACATGGGTGTGAGAATTAAATTGTATTGGTAAGACTTGTTGCCTGGAATTTGCAGTTAAATCGGGTGGGTCCTTGGTGATATGTATTTCTTTCCCCTCCCCACTGTGTGCCCTGGTCTAAGCTTCCCTCAGTCTCTCTATTGCAACAGCTTCCTAAATGGTATCTCTATTTTAATTCTTGCTGCCCTCTAATTTATTCTCCACCCAGCAGCTAGACTGATCTTTTCAAAACAGAAATAGATCATGCCACAACCGCTCCTTATAAACTTTCAGTAGGGTTCTGATACAGTTTTGTACCTGGAATAAAATCTATACCTAGAATAAAACCTAGACTCCTACCTTCAAAATCCTTCATGATCTAGCCCATTCTTACTCTCCATCCTCATCCCATCTGTTGCTCACTCGCTTGGCCTGTTGACTGTTCTACCTTGCTTTGGAATACTCATCCCCTGCTGTCTGTATGGCTGCTCCTTCAAGTGTCATCTTCCTTGAACATTTTATCTGTAGTAGAACCCTGCTGTTATTCTTGCATCAGAGTCCCTTGTTTCTTTCATAGTACTTAACACAGCTTTTTTTTTTTAAGTTTAACTAATTGATTATCAAATTTACTCACTAGATAAGTAGAAGGGCTGGTCCTAGCACAGTGCCTTATACATAGAACGTGCTCAATATTTTTTGAATTAATAAATGAAATTACTTAGGTTCATTGTGATAAAGGTAAAGAACAATTACAGTCAGTGTGGCACATAATCACGTGTTGGTCAACGAGGGACCCCAAGAATGACGGTGGATTACAGCTTTCTACTGGGTGTGGATGAGGATGATGTTGATGAGCTCCTGAGGGTGGTTCCTGAGGAATTGACTAATGAGGAGTTGTTGGAACTGGAATAGGCACACATAGCCGAAGAAGAGGCCAGAGGAGAGGGAACTGCAGGAGAAGAAGAACCGCCAAGAAAATTCACAGTTAAGGGTTAGCAGAAGCTTTTACAGACCTCAGCAAGCTTCTTAAAATGTTTGAAAACACAAATGTTCATGGTGCATTATCTTCTTACAAGCAAATCTATGATGAAAAAAAAAAAACAAACCAAGCAAACCACCATGGATGCATTTCTGAAGAGTGATACCTCCTCAAGAAGAGCCTCAGGCAGGTCCTTCAGGAGATATTCCGGAAGAAAGCATTGTTATCGTAGGAGATGACAGCTCCATGCATGTTATTTGCCCTGAAGACCTTCCAGTGGTACAAGATGTGGAGGTGGAAGGCAGTGATACTGATGATCCTGACCCTGTCTTTTTGTCTTAGTTTTTAACAAGAGGTTTAAAGAGTAAAAAAAAATTCAAAAATAGAAAAAACTTATAGAATAAGGATATAAAGAAAGAAAATACTTTTGTACAGCTGTACAATGTGTGTTTTAAGCTAAGTGTTATTAGAAGAGAGTCAGAAAGTTAAAAAAAATATTTTTAAATAAATTTAGTGCAGCCTAAGTGTACAGTATTTATAAAGTCTGCAGTGGTGTACGGTAATGTCCTAGGCCTTCACATTCACTCACCACTCACTCCCTCAGTCACCCAGAGCGACTTCCAGTCATGTGAGCTCCATTCATGGTAAGTGCCCTATACAAGTGTACCATTTTTTATCTGTTATACTGTTTTTTTTACTGTACCTTTTCTATGTTCAAATATGTTTAGATACACAAATACTTAGCATTGTGGTAAAATTGCCTTCAGTATTCAGTACAGTAACATGCTGTACAGATTTGTAACCTAGGAGCAGTGGCTATACCATGTAGCCTAGGTGTGTAGTAGGCTATGCCATCTAGGTTTGTGTAAGTACACTCTGTACTTACACAAGTACATTTGTTCTGTGATGTTTGCACAACGACAGAAGTCACCTAACAATGCATGTCTTAGAACGTATCCCCGTCATTAAGTGACGCATTAAAGAGGGAATGACATGAGGATGATTTTAGGAATGATTGATCTGGCAGTTGTATGAAGAAAAGGTGAAGCCTGAGAAACTAGTTAGGGGTTTGTTGCAAAAATCCATGTGTTCTGGATTGAGCGTGAGACTGAGAAATAGATATCTGAGGACTCGACAGATGGGGTGTGAAGAGTGAGACGGATTGAGCAATAAAATAATTGTTCTAAGATTTTGAGCTTGAGGGAACAATGTAATGGTGATGTAGTTGGTAGCAATGGAGAAATTTGAAAGGTGTACCAACCACTTTTAGGAAGAGTCATTATCTTTTTTAATTTTTAACATGCTAAACCTTAAGTGGAATCAGTATATGTATAAAATGTATAAAAAGAATTGTATACAGTGACCAAGTTGGGTTTATTCCAGGTGTGCAAGGCTGGCTCAGCATTTGAAAATCAGTCAGTGTAATCAGTCATATCAATGGGCTAAAGAAAGCTCAAGTGGAATAGTTAAAATAAGGGATTGGTGAGAACATAAGAGAGAAGTTTGAGATCTCCATTGCCTACAGAATGGTACAGCAAAGTAAGCTGAGAAAGCAGCTTTATGGAAATCAGTCTTGTATTTTATAATTATGTCATAAAATCCAAATCCCTTACTGATCAGCCATTGGAAGCTTTCCATTATCTAGTCTCACCTTCCCTGCCTAGGTTTAATTTTTACCACTTTTCAGTGTGTAAATCCCCTAGTGCAGCCAGGTTAGTTTCCTCGATGCCCTTCTGCCACGTTGAGCTCATTTCAGAATGAGACTACCCAAGTACAAATCCTGGCCCTGTCATCCTGTCATTAACTAGCTTTTACTGTGACTTTGGGCAAATTGCTTCAGTTTTCTTATCTGTAAAATGGGGATTATTTTCTGTTACCTAGCATGTATTATTAAATGCATAGTAAACATTAACTACTGATTACTCTTATCCACCATATATCTCTATCCTTTAAACTCTGGTAGCTCCAAAGTGATGCTAAATTGTCTCATAATAGCAGTGACGAAGAGAATAGGGAAGAGAGAGTTTTAAGAACATGTGTAATTAGTTTGGTGTATATTTGAAGTTAAAAAGGAATGAGTAACACTTCAGCAAAAAGTTTACTTGAAAAAATAAACACTGAGACTATCCAAAACATACAAAGAACTCTTAAAACTCAACAATGAGAAAACTTAATGACCCAATCGAAGAATGAGTAGATCTGAACAGACAGTTCACCAAAGAAGACATACAGAAGGTAAATAAGCATATGAAAAGATGCTTACATCATATGTCGTTAGGGAATTGCAAATTAAAACGACAGTTAGATACCACTACATACCTGTTAGAATAGCTAAACTCCAAAACACCTACAGGACCAAGTGCTGGTGAGGATGTGGGGCAATAAGGAACTCTAATTCATTGCTCATGGGAATGCAAAATAGTACAACCATTTTGGAAGATAGTTTATCAGTTTCTTACAAAGCTAAATAAACATAAATTTACCATATGATCCAGCAGTCACACTCCTAGATATTTACCTAAATGAGTTGAAAATTTACCTCCACACAGAAACCTGCGTGCAAATGTTTATAGTAGCTTTATTCATAATTGCTTCAAATTGGAAGCAACCAATATGTACTTATATAGGTGAACAGATAAATCAATTGTGGTACATCCATACAGTGGAATATTATTCAGCACTAAAAGGAAATGAGCTATCAAGCCATGAAAAGACATGGAGGAACCTTAAATGTATATTGCTAGATGAAAGAAGCCAGTCTGAAGAAGGCTGCATACTGTATGATCCAACTATATGACATTCTGGAAAAGGCAAAACTACAGAGACAAGTAAGAAGCTGCCAGGGGTTCAGGAGGAGGGGGCAAGGGATGAATAAGTGGAGCACAGGGCATTTTTAGGGCAGTGAAACTATTCTGTATGGTACTGTAATGCATGTCACACATTTGTCAAAACCCATAGATATGTACACACCAAGTGAACTCGGTTGTAAACTATAGACCTTAATAATACTGTATCAGTATTGGTCATCATTTGTAACATGTACTGACTAATACAAGATGTTAATAGGGGAAACTGTGGGTTGAGGGGGAAGTGGGTATATGGGAACTCTGTACTTACTGGACAGTGTTTCTGTAAACCTGAAAATGCTTTGGAAAAGTAAAGTATTAATTAAAAAGTACAGGCTTAAGAGCAGAGTCCCACGGAAGCCTGCTTATAATGATCTGGTCTTTTTACCTTTTTGAAATATGGACATTCAACTATAAAATCAGTATTTTTTGTACTAAAGACTTAAAATAAAAACCATCGTCACCAATTAAAAAAAAAAAAACCTAAGAAAAATAACTTTAAATGCCAGATTTTGCCGGAGAAAATTCATGAGTAACTTGAATATTAGTGGTGAGTGTGGAGTCTCAAGAGGGAACCTGAGAAGTTTAACTCAAAAATGAGTTATGACACTTTGATGAGATGATAAAATAATTTTCCCTTATGTGGTTATGTCAGTGTTGGTCATCAGAATTTGGAGGAAGTGCGTTCCAGTTTGTGCAAGCCTGATGGGTAGGAGCTTACCTTGCATGGACCCACCTTAACCCCTGGACTTGTGCTTTTCATTCTTTTTTATCACAACATACCTGTTGTTCCAGGCTATGAAATTCTTATTTCCTTCAGGATGTGTTCAAATGAATTAAAAAAAAAAAAAATTCTGGGCCAAATTATACATGAGAAAGCACCGCCAGGTGGGGAAGCACTGGAGAATCCTTTTTAAGAGTGAAGAATCCTTTAGTTAAATATGTAACCCTTCCCCCACCCCAGTTTACTTTATAGTAGATTCATATTTCAACCTGACTGTAATTAAAGCCAAACTTGCTTGTGTGAAGGAGACTTGGCTGTGTTAAAGATTTATTTGTAAGAAAATAAATGCTGTAGAATGTTTAGAATGCTGTACTGGTTTATTAACATGTCTGTCTTCTGCCTGAATTTTGTGTTTGTCTGATCTTACATTTTAAAACTGCATTTTAGCAAAGGTTTTATTTTTGTGGTCTTTCACAGTTTATCACATTTGGGTTGTGTAAAAAACTTTGGCAAATGTACTTCACTACGATTTTGAAATCTCTATGTTAATCAGCTTTTGCTGTTGAATAATATTATTGCACACTCACCTGAACTTGATACATTGTTCTGGCCGATTTACAGTAATGTTATTTTGTGTTTGCCTGATTAACAAGGGCATAATTTAGTAACAACCGATCCTGTAGCCAGATAAATGATAAGAGAAAACCTTTGAAAATAAAGGATAAATGTATGTAGTAGTGTATCTTCTGTGGTTTTAGGTAATAATCTAGCATTTAATTAATTCAGCTTATTTAACAAACTTTAGTCAATTAGCCATCCACAATGTGCTGATCATTAGGTTTATAAAGATAAGACATTGTCTTATTTTGTTAGTATCCTGATGTTTTCCATTGTTTTTCTGTCTATTTACATAGGTGGCATCACTGATGGCCAGAGTGGTTGTGATTTGTCCCAGTAGAATATCTAGTCGAGTACCAATTACTGCCTCCGTGTTTTACGTAACCTTATGGTGAAACTTCTGGTGTAGCTTTCTTTATTGTTACATCACATAATCATTCAATTTGTGACTGGTTTTCCAGGTTAATAACAATAGGGTAGGAAACCAACGGTTTTATTTCTAAACTCACTAGTATGTAAATATTTATTTTGGTAATTGACTGCAGTAAAAATGTGCATGTGCCAGAAAAATGTGATTGTCATCCTAAAGGCATTCCTGGATTAATAATTAGAGTATTTTTACATTATCCTTAGTTAATAGATACTTAGTGTATATTATTTAGTTAAACTTTTCAACAGCAGCCAGTAAGTATAAGGTATTTTGGAGTAAATATGTAGATATCTGCAAGTTAGAAATTTTTTGTGTTAAGTGATACTTGAATGCAAAGAAAGTTTAAATTCAATTCAGAGATTTATGACAGGGTTTCCTTCACACGTAAGGATTATTTTTAAGTCCAATATTTGTAAATCACGTACAGCCTGTATTTCTACAGCGTGGATTACCTCTGATTTCATGTTTTAGAGCCTTTGGTTTGCATGTCTGTATTATTAAAATACTGAATCGTTGAAAGGTTGTTTGCCCTTTATAAATATACACGTACTAGTCTGACCTTACCTAGTTTATAAACTTTTCTTTCCTTTTGACTTCTTGAAAATTAATGGTATTTAACACCAGAAATCTAAATTTATTTTTGATGGTTGCAGTTGTTAAAATAATTAGAAAAGTATATAACTAGCATTTTGACGGATGGAAAGCAGATATGAATTGAGAGCTAAAACATTATCCCTATAAAACATTTCAAATTTATTTAGACAGATGGGAAATTCTTTTGTCCTGAATGATCCTTTAAAAAACTGCGTAATTTTAACTTGGACGTTGGTCTTCTTTTAAACTCATAATAAGCTTGCACTTAGAAAACATTTGAAGGTAGTTATCAGAATTTTAGGTATATTTTAGATCTCATCTCATTTATAGAGATGAGAAGAGCTTTGTAGCATAAACTGCTTTATTTTCCTTCATTAACCTGGTTTTGGTTAAGGGAGATAAAAAAACACGTGCCGTATTATAGTCTTAGTTTGAAATGATTCCATGTGGAAGGTTATCACGGTACTGTCAAACAGAGTTATTCAAGAGATTTACTTTGCATACAATTTGTGTGTGCATGTGATTTTATTTAAAGCAAAAGTCAAAACTTTCTTTCCTACCAGTTTATACTTCTCTCAGCATTTTTGCTATTGCACTATGAATTTAGGGATTTGGTAACTAATAAAAAAACCTTTGTGTAAATTTTGCTCAAAAAGATGACCTATATGGATAGTCGTTGACTTAGTTTGTTAATAATTGTGTTTCATTTTATAGAGGGCTACTGAGCCAAGCCAGGCTATATGCCATTGCTGCTGAAAAAAAGAATTATCTTCAAGAGGAGCCCATTTCTTTGCATAGAGGGAATGCCAGTCAGTTTGATTGGGCTTTAATGAGACTAGATAATTCTGTCAGAAGAACTGGCCGCATCCCTAAGACTCTTCTACAAAAAGTCTTTGATAACACCTGCCACTCAGGTATTTCACAATTTTCTGTTCAAAAAGTTGAACTTCTTAATAAGTACTTGTTTGGGGGCAAGCTCATTGTAAAGCCTATTATTTGATAGTTTTAATTTTGTTTGTGACTTCTATTAATGATCATGATTTTATGTTATGATTGTGATCTTTCTGTCTTTCCAACTCATCAGGGAAAAGTTTTGAGTAACCAAAACATTTCATTTCAGGTGTTTATTTTAAAGCCAGCAAATAAAAATTGTCTTTTTGCTTTCCACAGTTCATAAAACAGTCACTTTCAGTGGTAAATTGTATTGGAAGATAGTAGTTTTTCTTATCTTCCATTGTATAGTGTCAGCTTTCCCTAAGATGTTCACATATGACAGATTTCTAGAAAGACTGATAATCATTATTTCTCTTTCATTTTCACGTAGCTATTAAAATCTGAGTCACTTATGCAACTTTGATAATCTGCTGGAAGCTTGTAAGCCCTCTACTGCCCCCCCCAAAAGCCTACATGCAAACACACACATAATTTTGCGTGTAGTTTCGGAGCATTCCCTAGCTTCCTAAAGCCTGTCCATGAATTTCAGTCATTTTTTTTTTTTTTTTTTAAAGATTTTATTTATTTTATTTTTTGCCCCCAAAGCCCCAGTAGATAGTTGTATGCCATAGCTGCACACCCTTCTAGTTGCTGTATGTGGGACTCGGCCTCAGGATGGACAGAGAAGTGGTGCCTCGATGCGCACCCGGGATCCGAACCCGGGCCGCCAGCATCGCAGCGCGCGCACTTAACCACCAAGCCACAGGGCCGGCCCTCAGTCATGTTAAGAAGCTTTAGAATCTAATGATGAGGGACACCAAAGAGGTATCAATTATCATTAAGTGCATTTAAAGACTGTTTTATTATTTTCTCTGTTTGATTTATTCAGAGTTGTACAACTATGACTACAATCAATTTTAGAACATTTTTATCACCCCAGAAAGTAAACTCCACATCCTATCTTCAGCTCCGGAACCCCCATGCTTTCCAGCCGTAGGAAACCACTAGTGTACTTTCTGTCCTTGTAGATTTGCTTATTCTGGATACTTCATATAAATGGATCATGCAATAAGTGGTTTATTTTTGTTTTTGTTTTAAAGTCAGCTTTCAGGGACATGTAGCTAAAGGTCATGGATAAAGGGAGAAGGAAGTTTATATTATTTTATAACTGATTATAAACCTACGTTTGATATTTGTGGGGTTTTTTTTTCTTTTTTGTGAGGAAGATCAGTCCTGAGCTAACATCCAAGCCAATCTTCCTCTTTTTGCTGAGGAAGACTGGTCCTGGGCTAACATCTGTGCCTGTCTTCCTCCACTTTATATGGGATGCCGCCACAGCATGGCTTGACAAGTGGTGCCTCGGTGCATGGCCAGGATCCAAACCTGGGCCGCCAGCAGCGGAACACGTGCACTTAACTGCTATGCCACGGAGCTGGCCTCTGTGGGTTCAAATTATACTGATTTGTACTATTTTCGTAAGATCCTGAGAAGCCTAGTCTTTAAATTGCAGTAAACGCTACTTATAAATTAGATTCTTTGTATTTTTGTATTCTATAGAGTCTTGCAGGTTACATAGATTCATACCCTTTGCTTCTTAAGAAGGCAGACTAAGTTTAAAAAGTTATAACTTTCAATAACATTGTAAATGATCTTGTGGACTAGGATAGGATTTTTCTAGTTTACAGGGACTCTTAATACCATATTATCTTTAGTGAGTTGGGAGATTTTTGAATATTTACAGATTTCAGTTTAAGTTTTGATATTTTTCTGTATGATATTGATACTGTTATCCATTCACCTTTTTTCGTAGGCAGCCCAGGTGGTAATCAAGCCTTGCTTCTACTGCGCAGCTGTGGTTCTCTCTTGCCTGAACTAGAGCTCTCAGAGAGAACAGAATTTGCTCATAGGATATGGGACAAACTTCAGAAATTGGGTATGATTGTTTGAATATATGATGTGTATAAAAGGTGTAGATATTTTTTCTTTTAGTAAAAAAGAGTTTCTTTACATAAATGCTGTAATTCAATTTTATGGAAGGACTACTTGATTTGTCATTTTTTTGTAATATGATTTATTTGGTGAATTATAGTGACATCTAGGGGCATTAAGAATAAAATAATTTTTCATAACAAAATAATTTTTCATAACAAGTATTACTTTTATGGTAAGTTAAAAAGAAAAAGAACAAAATAGAAAGGCATTTGGTCTGTCAGAGTTATAAATGCACACACCATTTGACCAAGCAGTTGCATTGTTAGAATTTAGATAACATATACCCCCATGTGCAAAAGGATATTCTTTGTTTTGGCTTGTTTGTAATAGTAAGACATTGGGACAGATTCTAATGTTCCTCACTAGGGGATTGGAAAAATAAATTATGGATTGTACATAAAATGGAGTCTGTGCAACTGTTAAAAAATGAAGGAGCTTGAGCTCGTCATACACTGATGGAGGGTGTTCTCCAAAATATAAATAAAAGTTAAGGTGCAGAACAGTTTTTATAGTATGCTACTATTTTGAAGAAAAATGTCTGTGTATATGCATACAATATTAAAATATTTCTTGAAGGATAAAAACTGGATACAATTTTTACTCTATACCTTTTAATGCTTTTTCAGTTTTGAACCATATAAACATAGTACCTGTTCAAAAAAAGTAATTTAAAAGACCATTTGATAAAATCCAATGTTTATTCCTGATTTAAAAAAATCTCTTCAAAGAATAGAAAGATGCCTCTTTAACATGTTAAAATCTAAAGCCAATAACTAATATCCTGTATAATGACAATGAAATAAGATGTGAAACAATACTAGAAATTATTATTTTTTAGGTGATGTGATGGTTTACCTTTAAAATCCCAGATCAGCTTCCAGTTAGGTAGTTGCACATACTAAATGTTCAAGAATCCATAACTTTTCATAGTTAAAAAATAAAATGGATAAAAGGATCCAGTTAAGTATAGCACAAATGCATAAAACATCTAGGAATATCTTTCAAGAAATGTGTAGGACCTGTGTGAAGAAAAGTGTAGAATAAAGATAGCCTCACTTTACAGTTTTGAATTTATCTAGAATTAATTTTGATGACAAGTTCATTTTTTTAAAGTTTTTAAAAATAGAGATAAATGTTGGATTTCAGAATAGAAAAGGGTTTTCTAAGTGTAAAAGCAGCAGAAAAGTGAAGATAAAGAATTGACTTAAAAATACTAGAAGTTTGTATATGTCATTAAGTCACATAATTGAAAAAGACATTTGAACTGGGAGAAATACTTTTGAAAAAGGTTATATTCTAAAATACAGAAAAGCCCTTACACAGCAGTTAACACCTCAGTGAAAGATAGACATGTATTCTATTCTATTCTCATTGTTCACAAACATATTTTTCCTTTAAATATTCCATGTTTATCCTTTGTGAGGGTGGAATCCATAACTTCTTTGTTTTCCTCTTTGCCAGTAGCACAAGGCTTTGTACTTATGACACTTGATAGATACTTATTGAATTAATATTGCCAGAAGCCTGGTAGATTGCCAGTGTGACTCTTGTTCACAGACTTGTAAAGTTGTAAGAAATATTTTATCTTAGGTAACATGTCCAAAGTTATAGAATGAGCTGTTGACAGATTTGAGACTGGAATTGAGATATCTGGACTGAAGGGGGTTCTGGAGGAAATGCTGGAAATGATAGAATCTCATTTCAATATTGCCATATGCTAAATTCTTTTTTTTTTTTTAAATAGTACTTTTTTTTTTTTTAATATTTATTTTATTTATTTTCCCCCCAAAGGCCCAGTAGGTAGTCGTATGTCATAGCTGCACATCCTTCTAGCTGCTGTATGTGGGACGCGGCCTCAGCATGGCCGGAGAAGCGGTGCGTCGGTGCGCGCCCGGGATCCGAACCCGGGCCGCCAGCAGCGGAGCGCGCGTACCCAACTGCTAAGCCCGCCCAGTACAGAAGTAATTCTATTTTTAAGAATTTAGAGGGCCAGCCCCATGGCTTAGCGGTTGGGTGCGTGCGCTCCGCTGCTGGCGGCCCGGGTTCGGATCCCGGGCGCGCACCGACGCACCGCTTCTCCGGCCATGCTGAGGCCGCGTCCCACATACAGCAGCTAGAAGGATGTGCAGCTATGACATACGACTACCTACTGGGCCTTTGGGGGGAAAATAAATAAAATAAATATTTAAAAAAAAAAAATTACTTCTGTACTTCTTTGGCCATGCCATGATAATATCTAAGTCACCTTAACTATTTTTGTTCAAATTGTTCATCTTTTCTGGAATGTTCTTTTTTTCTCACTCTTTCAGTCAATCCCTTTTTCAAGCCATGGTTTAAATCCGTGCATTCTGAGTTTTATCTCCAGTCCAAATTAGTGTCTCTTCCTTTCCCCTTGGTTATCATCAGTTGCCTTGTATTAGAGTTGTGTACCTGTGTTTTTGATAGATAATTTTCTCTTGGAGTCTAATGATTATATCTTATTCATATATGGATCTTCCCCATGAACTTTTCAGTGTTTTGCACATGTTGGATACTAAAGTAGTATTAATTGAAATGGTAGAAAATGGTCAGGCAAATTTAACTTGATTTTTTAAAATTTAAATTTTACTTCATTAAATAGTAAATATATTAACATGGTTCAAAATTCAAAAGGTTCAATAAAGTTTTTAGGGTAAGGCTTCAATCTATGTTCCCCAGCCACCTAGTTCCACTTCTTGGGGGCAGTGAGTCAAATCTAACTTAAAAAAAAATTTCTCTAAGAGAATTATAACATTTTGAAAAAGAGTGGAAAACTAATTTACTTACAGAGTGATTTAATTACTTTGGAAAAGTAATTGTTATAGAAAACAATTTCTTAGAAAACGCTATTAAAATAATTTATTTGGGACTGAAAAAACCTTTGATCAGTAGCACTCTGATTTAGAGACAAAGGTAGGGATAAAGACAACTCTGAACAAAAAAGTGCAAATGTGTTCTTAAATATTGGTATTAGGACGGGTCCATATTTAGTATAGTCATATATCTATTATCTTGATAAGGGGAACCATATAGTGACATCTTAAAGTTTTTAGATGACATCACGTTTTTCTTGAACAGTAAAATGCCAAGCTGATTAACATAACTAGAAATAATTTTGAAAGCTTTGTGAGATGACAAAAATGGCAAATGAATCTTGTGGGAAAGCACAGTGTGATACATGGAGGAGGGAGTAATTATGCAAATTATACCAATGGAAGAGTGAGCTCTGATCAAGGCAGGAAACCTGGCTTTCGTACAAAACAGTTGTATTTTAGAATATTCCTTTGAGTTTGAACAAAATAAGTATAAGATAAGTGCAAGTGGATGGTAATATACAAAATTATTATGCAAAGAGATTGAACAAGAAGATGCTATCAAAACATTAAAAGTAATGGACAGCAGAGCCAGAGACATGAGAAATTATTGTTAAAGGTTTAAAGGTATAAGGATATAAGGTAGGATACATAAGGAAATGCTTTTTTAAAGCTTTTGATTATTAAAGTAGGATGTTTTAGGATTATATCCCTAAACTTTTGAGTTTTTAATTTAAATTTTAGACAGTTCTAGACTTCCTTAATTCGTACTACAAAGGGTACAATATATATTTTAAAAAAAATTCTCTATTATCTTTTTCAAGAAATGACCCATGAAATTAACTAGACGTCATAGTAAATATGAGGATAAAAATTTTACTGAAGTTCACGGAAACATTTTTGTCATCCATAGAACTACATCAGTGTGACAGAAATAAAGAAATGAAACTTGGTAGAGTTATGTTGAACATTGATCTTGACTGAAATCTATATGAAAAACTAGAATAGATGTCACTTATGTGGGTTTTGAGCAGCTTTCTCAGCTTCTCCAACAAACTAGAGTGAGCGCCTTACAAAATTACAGAATATTGTTTCCTTCAGCCTTAGAGCTATAGCCAACCATTGTTAGAATTCTGCTTGAGTTGATTTTTTAAAAGAAGCTTTCAGACACTATCTGGTAACCTTGTTGCATCATCATCATATTGCAGATGTTGAAGTACACATGGTTCCCTATAAGGCCCTGTATAAAATGTTACAGTGGTTAAGTGATTAGGCGCTCAAGGCGCCCCACCTACATTCAAATCTGTGGTCACTTACTAGCCATGTGGCCTTGGACGAGCGAAAGAGTTAGTGTTCTTCATCTGTAAGATGAGGATGATAAAACCTGCCTCAAAGCTGTTTGTGAGAAGAAACTGAACCTCTGTTTAGCACAGTGCCCGAGATGTAGTAAGCACTCTACGTGTCTACTAAGATAAAAACAAATATTAATTTAGTGGAATAAGTGTCTGCTGCCCAGAGTCTCAAACTGACACCAGATACCACAGGCCTGCGTGGCCACAGGCAGTTGAATAAAGATATGAAATTTAATACATGAAAATTTAGTAAAACACGTTAGCACTAGATTGATATGATGACCATGTCAGGAGTGGGTAGAGTAATGCTGAGTAATAACCTTAATCGATGTGGCCATAGGCAAGATGGACGTTGAAAGAAAACAAAGGGCATTGGAATGCAGGTAATTAACAATAGCAGACTAGAAATGGTGGTTAGCAACAGGAAATAGCTTGGAAATGGAGCCTTCAAACAAAGACTTTGAGTAGCCTGGTTAGTAAATAAGCAAAATTGCCGGTACAGTCCCACCTGTATAAAACAACTACAGTCACAATCTCTGCATCTCAGTGGGTCTGTAATGTGACAAGGACTGCTTTATATCGAAAAATCTTTCATTAACTTCAAATACAAGGGTATTGTCAGCATTTTCTAACAGAAAGGGAATACTGTGCTTCATAAGTAAGAGACCTATTACTATCTGAATAGGCAGTTAATAACTGTACACTAACTCAGTAATTACTGTCTTATATGCTTACCTTGCTCTATTCTGACAAGACTTTATAGAGATGGGTCTAAGTATGGGGTGAAATGCTGAAGTGATCATTTTACCATTTTTGTGTGTTTATTAAATTTAACTGCAGATATTTTAGTTGTGGTAATGGATATGATTTTAAGTGCTTTTCTAAAAATTTGATTTAAATTTCATTTGTAGGTACTGTGTATGATGTAAGTCACTATAATGCTTTACTTAAAGTCTATCTTCAAAATGAATATAAATTTTCACCAACTGCCTTCCTGGCAAAAATGGAGGAAGCAAACATTCAACCAAATCGAGTAGGTAGTTGCTATTGTACGTGTTTATTGGTCACATCACTTTTTTTTTTTTACGCAGAAAAAGTATTATTAAAAAAATATTAACTGCCTCATTTCATTGACAGGTGACCTACCAGAGGTTGATTGCAGCTTATTGTAATGTAGGAGATATTGAAGGTGCCAGGTATGGAGCTCTATAAATGTGTGTTTAAGCAAACAAATTTGTAAGTCTTGTAAACCTAAGAAGTTTCTTCTTAGTAAGGAAAATTACTTCAGAAGTGTTTTAATCTAGCAAATCTGGTAATATGACTTAGGTAAAATATAAAACTATGTAAGAGGGGAAAGATGGGTGAAAATTGCTTTTTTAATTAAAAATTTGATTTACTGGAGCAGAGGTTTAAAATTGTTGATGTATAAAGCTGGCTTTACTTTTTTTATTATTAATATTTCCTAAAGGAAATGTTATTAGCCATTTAAACTGTTCATTTGTAAAACTGGTAATATTCCCTTTATCTCGCTGATTCATATAAAATCAGTTATGACATTTCTCTGCTGTGTAAAATTTATTATTACTTTTGGATGGAAGGTTTAGGAAGTAATGGATGAGTTGAAATGTACTATTTCATTTTTGACTAAATGAATCTTATTAAACTTCATGCTTTTTAAAGGTTAATTACCAGTGTAGATGAAACAGTGAGATTTTTAATAGTTACCTACTGTTTTTAACAAGCGTACTTCAAGACTGTTGATATAATTTGAGGAAGTGAGATTTTGTGTGTACATGTAGTAAAACATTTTTGAAGTATATTTCCAAGGAGTTTTTTCATTTCTCTTTTATTGCAGCAAGATTCTTGGATTTATGAAAACTAAGGATCTTCCAGTCACAGAGGCAGTATTCAGTGCCCTTGTTACAGGGCACGCAAGAGCTGGGTAATGTTCAACCTAAGGTTTTGTTCTTAGTGAGGTTTAATTATAGAAAATTATTGTAGAAAATTAGTAAACCATTTTTATTTACCCCCTCAGAAAGAATCTTGAGTGTGTGAGGTAGAACATGCAAATTTTTAGAGAACTTATTCTTAAATTTATGTTTCATAAAACTTTTATTTGAAAATTTTCAATTTTAAAAATTGGGCCTGATCTAAAGTTACTGACTATGTAAAGTTTATTAACTGCTATGCTAGTGCGCTGGAAAATATATTTATTTTTGAAGAGTAATTTACTAAATATTATTCTTCCATAAAATGGTAAATTTGAGTCGTAACATCCTTGGTGAAAGAGGGCACATTATTCAATGTCTATGTAATTAGTATACAATTTGGTTTCTCTTTTGGAAAAGTTACCTGTTAAAATTTAAGATGTTTATGATCTTTATTACTTCAGAAACCTATAACCACTTTAATATGTATTTATCTTTTTCTAATGTTATGGTTCTAAATGGTACTTAAGAATTTTTAATTTTAATAAGCCTGGGTAGTACTTTTGGATTGAACAATAATATTAAATTTGGCAGTACTATAGTAATCTGTTTTATTTTCTTTGAATTAACTTATAGAGATATGGAGAATGCAGAAAATATTCTCCCAGTGATGAAAGAGGCTGGAATTGAGCCTGGTCCAGACACATACCTAGCATTATTGAATGCATATGCTGAGAAGGGTGACATTGACCATGTTAAGCAGGTATGACTTACATAAATAAACATACTTTAAAATCGTTTGTATGAACTTGTGTTATGTTTTGCGTGAAGCAGAAAAGTGTAGTTTACATCTGTTTTTAAAGATATCTCTTATAGACAGTAGTACTGAAGGAAAATTCTTACTATAGTTTGGTACCTTGGTGTTAATGTAACAGTTATTGTTGAAATAGAATATTTTCTGTTTTATAAAAAAGTCCTAAAACTTTAAATGGTCTATTTCCCTAATTTTTTTTCGTCTTGGTATTTTAATTTATTTGGCTTTAATTAAAAAATGCCGCTTTCTAACTTGTTCTTCTAATTTCTGGAACTGTCTGTAGACTCTGGAGAAGGTGGAGAAGTCCGATCTTTACCTTATGGACCGTGATTTATTGCAAATTATCTTTAGCTTCAGTAAAGCTGGGTATCCTCAATATGTCTCAGAAATTTTGGAAAAAATTACATATGAAAGAAGATATATTCCAGGTAGTTTTAAAAAATTTATTTTCATGATTTTTCTAAAAATCTGAATTACTATTCTTACATGATGGAAAGGGCATTCTCTAACAATATGAACATAGAACTCTTTTAAAGTCAGCTTATTAAGCTAAAAAAAGCTTGAGTTAGTGAATACATGGGAATGTTTTGATTTGGAAGTGTTTCATTACTATTTAGGCAGATATATCCTTGTGTTTACAGTTCATAAGTTTGTCTTTCATGTTGCTTGCACTGTAAATATTGTTCAGTTCAGTAACAAAAGATGTCTTTGTTTTCTTCCCAGATGCAATGAATCTCATTTTGCTTTTAGTCACTGAAAAATTGGAAGATACGGCATTGCAGATTTTATTATCATGTCCTCTATCAAGGGAAGACGGTCTGAATGACTTTGGCAGTTTCTTTTTACGACACTGTGTGACTATGAATACGGTATTCTGTACATTTTTACTTTGTAGACAGTGTAATAAGCAGTGAAATAAGACTCTTTAAAATATAAGAACATATTAGGAAATTAGTCCAATTATAAACATTATGAAAACTTTGTTTTTGTGTTGCAAGATTATTAGATAGAAAGAGGATGAGAGGTTCAAATTTTTCATCTTAAATGGGGTAGAATATTTGCAGAAGGTCAAATGATAGGATATTTGCAGATCTAGCTCATGTGGTGCGTTTTTTTTCTAGCCTGTAGAGAAGCTGAAAGACTACTGTAAGAAGTTGAAGGAAGCTCAGATGCACACATCTCCTTTGCAGTTCACACTCCAGTGTGCTTTACTGGCCAATAAGCCCGGTACTATATTCCCATAGTTAAAACTGACATAAGTAAGTTTTGCTGAGGTAGCTTTGTAATATTTTATCGTATCTTTTTCAGATTTGGCAAAAGCCCTAATGAAAGCTCTGAAGGAAGAAGGTTTTCCTGTCAGAACTCATTATTTCTGGCCGTTGCTAGTTGGACATCAGAAGGAGAAAAATGTTCAAGGTTAGGTTTTGCCTTTTAGATTTGTAGTGGTTCTGAGATTCAGTGTAACAATTTCTATACACATTTAATTGAATTCTTTGGGAATACATACTTATTCCTGAATATTAGATTTTCTGAGAAAATAGAATTTACATAATAGTCAAGTATTAGGTAAGCATTTAAAAAAATGTAATGGATTTCTTTCATCTTAATTTCATTAATTTCATTTCTTAATTCATCTCTGATCTTGATATTCAAACGTGAGTGTAGTTTGAAACAGTTCATTATTTTTTTAAGTTTTTCAAAAAACTCATTAGTTCTTGATTTTACATGTAGTGTTTGAAATTAATTTGTCTAGCCTTATTAAAGATAAAGTTATAAATAATCAGGCCATTTTCTTTGTGAACCAGTCTGTTTCTTCTTCACTGAGCTGAGTTATACTAATAGGAAAGACAGGAAAACTTTTATTGCAAAATGAGTGCTCATGACCTGTCAGCCTACTGATTGAAGGACAGAAATGTTCAATCTTTCAGGTTCTTAAGTACGTTTAAGCATTTAGCTTACTTTTCCCTTGTACACATGGGAAGTCTATAGGATATGAATAAGAATTGAGCAAATATTAAATTTTAGAGTACAGTATCTAATTCTTTGGTTTACATTATTGGTAATTCAGAAAGAGTAGTCTCATAAAAAGATGCTTTTAACAGAAGTACTTCCCCCTTGGGGAAACAAAAAATAGTCTTTTTCACTTTATCTTGAAGTATAATGTGCTTTAGAATGAGATGCAGAGTTGTTAGTATGACATTGGGTGACAAACAAATGCACAAACAACAAAAAAAGTGCTTTTAGCAGACTTTCATATTGCAATTTTATTTTAAGTAGATAACCGTTGTCTGGTTTAAAGGAATTCGTGAAACAAGTATTCCCTAATTGTTTCTGGCTATAAAAGTCTCTAAATCCTTTTTAGAAAAATCTTTGTGAAAACAATATGCTTGTTGATTAACTCTTTGCATATCCTCCAGTTCTGAAAGCTCCAAGAAGTAACCTTTAAGCCAGTATTTCTGAACCACAGAAAGTTTACATTATTCCATGAAAATCTTTGGGCATGTTAGTGTTGTCCACTTTTACATAGCTATGAAAATGCTTTTGGTACCCCTGTTGAGATGTTTGTTCATCAGGTAAATTGGCTTTCCTCAACCCTATCACTATATCTAGACTTGAATTGACTCCCACGTTTTTACTATTTAATAAACATAAAAGAATTCAGGTAATTTCTTTCTAGAGTTGTAGCGCAAGCTGGTAGAAAAATGGGCTCTATCTTGAATCCATTTTTTCTTAGAATCTTAGAATTCAGATTTCAAAGGTGCCTGTTGACAGGCCCTGTTATATTAAGGAAGGCGTTGAGAGCCGCAGAGGGCTTCAGTTCCTGACCGTAGGATCCACATCTAGCTGTTGGTAGTGCCGGGACTAGAACTGGGCATTTCTGTCCTCCTGTTTTAAAGACTTTTTTTAGTACCATAACACCTCCATATTAGACATTTGTAAGTCTTATGCTGTATTTGTTTTATAAAAATTCTTGGCTGTTTAAAAATTAGGTACCAATTTTTGCATTAAGGACGCTTGAAAAAGTGGTGCCCAGTTTTTTAATCAATGAAGGTTTTAACTGGAAAAACACAAAAGCTGAGAAAGGTAACTTGAGAATGCCAGATATTGTTAGTAGTTTTACAGTTTTTAAAAACTAGTTTCTTCTTTGCCAGGGGGTCCTGAAATATAGTAAAGTATATATTCTATGATCTTCTTTCAAGTAACAGGGAAATGGCTGTATGTATTCTATGTACTTTCTTTAGTGTAAGGTAAGAAAGTAACATTCTTAGTGCAATGAACTTGTTCTTTGTCTGGGGAAAGTCATATATAAACTGGTAGGAATAACAGAAGAAAATAATGGCTGCAGCAATGGAGGATGTAGAAGAGTGTTTCATAAGGAATATATAAAACCCTTCAGGAAATCAAAGAAAGAAAGGTGTCAAACTGAACAAAGAGTTTTCAACAATAGCATGATCACATTTTTATTGAATTCTAGAATTTTTCTGGCTGCAAATTTAGCATCACCAACCCCTAGGAAAGATTCTTATAATGACTTCCTCATGGCTCATCTTACTAGTGTTTTTCTCTGTGGCACAAATGGAAAAGTTACCACTTAGACTTTTAGCAAGTTGGCCTGAATGAGAGGAAATAACCCAGAATTATTGAGGATCTACATCCCTTGGTATACTTAGAAAACATAAAAATAAGAATATGGAAGGGGTAAAATATATAAGGAAGGGCCGATATGAAGGCCTAAATGCTAGTTGAGTGAAGTAGTTGGATAGAGGGTACTTTTCAAGAAGTAAGAAATTGCCTCCTAATAAAGTGAGTGCTCTGGGTAGAGTCTAAAATCATGTGGAGTAAACAGTCATAGTTGGTGAAAGTTGTTCAGGTAAACCATATATCTTTCCCAAAAGTTTGAACTGTTTTAATTCTTTTTTTTTTTT